CTGGCCGGGCCAGCGCTGTTCTCGCTATTCTTAAGCGATGTGCGCTCACTGAACGTGGTTATGATCTCATCATCCGAGCAATCACACTCCGAGTTGTCAGGCTCAGCCTGTTGCAGCAGTCGGGCCGCCTCTGTGGCCAAAGTTCTGCGCTCCTGCGTGGCCGTGGGCGATGTTGTCGTATGCGTAGAGGATGTGGATGGACTGACATGCACATGCGCCACCTCTGTGGAGTTGGTTCGCGGTATGCTAGGCGTCCGGGCAGGCGTCGGCTGGACACCGCCAGCACTGGCATACGTTGGAATTTCTCTTGTGGACACGCGCGGCTGCTCAAAAATGTGTGTGGGTGGAGTTGTTGCTCCATTATCATTGGATGCCTGGCGACTGTTTGACGTAGATTTGGAACTTGATTTTGTGTCAAAGGACGCTAAGGAATCACTGATATTGTCACTTAGATTGGTGAAAAAGTTTTGGCACGTTTGCTTCAGACTGTCCATGGGATTGGCTTGGCCTCGACCCGGACTTTGGTTCTGATTAGGCGGGCAGCCTCTCTCTCGATCCGACTGAGCGACATGCGTCAGCACCAAACCAACCAGCTCTTCCTTCTCTGCACAGCCCAAAAGACAAAGACCAATTAGATTTTATATAGATACATACATATGATCGCAGCGGCAAACACTCACCCAGACAGCCTTCAGTGGAAATGTGTTTGGATTGCAAATAGAATATTAAATCCTTAGGCTTTAGCTTTAGCAAATCCGTGCGCAGCAAAGGACGTTGAGCAAATATTGCACAGCGCTGGCAGCGACGCGACGTCGATGTCAACGTCGTCGCCGCCGTCGCCCCAGTCAGGCAATTGCTGCAATAATAGCGCCTGCAATAAAACATTTTAATGGGATGATAGAGCCAAATAAAGCTATTCAATATCAATTTCCGACTTACCTGCAGTCGAAACAGCTGCGTTTACGGCGAAATACCGTGAATTCAATGCCACAGCTTTCGCAGGGCATCTTCCTATTGGTGTGTTTGTGTGTGTCTGTGCGCGCGTGTATGTCCTTTCGATCGAACGTTACCTTGCCCTTTGCTCCTCTCTATGACCAACTCTTCATCGCAATTTCTGTTTTCAATGTCAAATCGTGAATCAATCCGCATAGAATGCGCATAATATTTTGACGCAGTTGAAGCGCCACTCAGCTGAGATAATTGTTTCACACAACTACTTACTCATCGGGGCCTATAAAGCAAATAGCCTAGTGGATTTTTACAAATTTTTATCAATATGCAATAAGTACGCACGTACATATGTATATATATTTGTATATGTATATGCGTTTGTGCACAATAGTCAACACATCACTGGTAAATTCGATAGGCGCGTAGGCACAACAAATATCGATTGCACTATCGATAGCAAAAATCGCTCAAATAAATAATTAAATAAAAACCATTATTAAATTTAACAAATTAATATAATTAATTCGATTTAAGTAAATATAGCTTAATTATATTTTATTATCGATATTCTGCAAGTCGCACATTCGTTTTACAACTAAAAATTAATGCTTTGCACATATGACACAAATATTATTTGAAATTTAAAGATTGTTATGGGTTTCTATTAGTTTAGTTTATTTTTATTTAATTCACATCCACTACTTAGAACTAAGTATGTAATTGTAATGCAATTAAATAGTTAAGTGCCATAAAATGATGCAATCTTTTAATATTTTGCTTTTGTTTGTTTGTTTCTTTTAAATAATACATCAGTTAATTGCTATAATTTATATATATGTATATATATATATATATATACGATTTTGCACACATTGAAAAGATGTTTGCTCTTCTAGTTGAATCAAGTCATTTAGTACATATACTATATACACATGTGGTTTCGTATGATTGAGCTTTTTCGAAATTCTTGTTGATAAGTCTTTAAAATTTATAAACAAATGCGTCCAATGCCCTTTTCATTCTTTCCTTTTAAGTGTTAAATTGTTTGCAGTTTAAATTATCAGCTAGCTGGCTGTTGTCTGACTGTCTGGCTATGAGTGCAGTTTTCTCTTTTGTTGTTCGAGTTGGTTGTGAATCATCCAAGCAGCGCCAGCACCGCATCGTTTAGATCTATGACCGACTACAAAGGTGTTGCAACTTGCAAGTAAACAAAAACAAAACAGAAATCAAAAGATATCGATACGAGACAGGGAGTGTCAGAGAGAGAGACAGAGAGCGCGTAAATAAATATCGTATTTGAAATTGTACAGATTTAAATTTCTATTGAACGTCGCTTGGCCTTTCAAAACGGTTCTGTGTGTGAGTGTTCTGGGTGTGTGGCTCTGTGTTGGGCTACTGTCTGACACACTTAAACTATGACACATGACGCGTATCGCCACCGGCTTTGACATGGCATTGCAATGGATCATCATTGTTGTTGTCATCATCGTGGACGGTGGCCATTTCCAGAGCACGATTCTTTTCATATTCGACAAAGTCATCGAAGAGACTTGGCCACGCTTCGGTATCATCGTAATTGTCTATATCACATTGTTCAGTAAAATTGAGGTACATGTTCCATGTATCCTTGGGTATGCGTCGTATGTTCGGATGCTTATCGAGGAAGTTAACCCAGTTTGAAAAGAGATCAGGTGTTTGTACAGTGAACACAAGTTTCCACAAATCGATTGCCATTTCAAGCGATAAAACGCGCTGATCGGGCTCCAAGCCGAAACTGCAAATCAAATGAATATAAATATAAAATAAATATTATAGCTTATTGACCTACCGAAAGGTAAAACGATAGAGCTGCTTAAACATTTCCGAATCAACCTTAAGCATCTCAATTGTATGCTCAAGTCTTAAACGTATGTTTTCAATTGAGTCTGCACGCATCTTATGGAGGCCATCGATGAACTCCGTTCTGGTGAATCGGCACATCTGTGAGGCATCCAAGCACCAGGCAAGCACAAGTATTGCAAACTCATCCGGCTGATAATTAAGATCAAGGCATAAACGTTCAATGCCATCCGTGAGTATCATATCTTCTTCATCGGGATCTTTGTAGATCTCAAATAGTTTATTTAGCGCTTGATGTGACACCTCCATGGACTCTTTCACTGCTGTAATGAGAATAACCATTATTATAATCTCATTGAATATATTGTTTCTATACTGTTTCACTTGCCAGTTGTTATTATGTCGCTCATGGTTGGCGCACTGCCATTAAGCAAGCCTAAGGACTTAAAACTATTACGTTTAGTATCACAATTGTTTGCTGGCTTGAGTGGAGTTCGATTAGAGAGCAATTCATCAGTTTCTGTGAAATAGAAAATTCAAAATAATAATCATGCGGAACAAATATGTATATTTCAGTCAGAAATCTCTTACCTCGTGGCCTGTCGTTTGCATTAGATTGAACGATGTCGTAGCAGTTGCCAATGCTGGTGGCCGCTTGGCAGCTGTTGTTGGCGTTTAGATTTTGCAATGCGTTTGGTAATGATTGGCTTGTTGGCAACGTTGGTGCGGCGGACGAAGACGACGACGACTGGAAGCATTTCAGGCAATTGCCCATAGTGCGATGCACGCTTCTTCAACGGGCCGATTGGACTTAACAATATTCTATGGGTTGCTATTTTGCTTTTTGCTTTAATTTGTTGTGTGTCTGTGTGTGTGTGTGTATGTAAGTGTAATTGTTTGTGTGTATGCGTGTTGACACTTGTCTATATTTTAACTTGGCTACTATGGGCTATGGCTTTCAGAGTGTGTATGTGTGTGTGTGTTTGTGTTGATATTAATTACTTAGTTAGCGTTAGCTCGCCTTGACATTGACTGCTTGACATTGGCACTGGAATTTCCATGGAACGTTGACGAGCTTGTGCACGCGGGAAATGCTAATGCACCATTGATGCATCGAGCATATGTTAAAGAGTTCCTTGTTGCTGTTTCTACTGCTGCTGCTACTGATGCTGTTGTTATTTTGATGCCTCCTACGCAAACTCATATGTGTGTATGTATTTGTGTATGGGTGTATACATACACATATACATATGCAAGTGTAGTAGTCAGCAAACCACCACAAATGTGCGTGAATTCGTCAACCTCAGTGTATTTCACATTTTACATGTATGTTCTATTGCACTACATTACACATAGTAATCCATATTCATATTTATTTATAGTTTTTAATCAGTTTTTTATTTATATTTATGTTTTGTATGTGTGTTTCACGAGGCTACGTTTTTTTCTGCAAAATCGCTGGCCCTAAAATAACTATCGCACGACGTATCGATAACATGGAACATGCCACCAGGGCTGCAGGTGTCTCTCAACACACGAATTTGAGCTGCAATCGATAGGTAAATTAAACCATAATTTAGTTTCAAATTTCAAAGTTTTTAAATATTTGCATGTAATTTATGTATTTTTTTATTCTCTAAATGCAGCTTATATAAAACTAGAGTTTATTGTAAATGCTTTCGATCAGTATAATTTTGAAAATTCTAAGCTTTGCTTCGGCTTGAGGTCTGGCAGCTCCGTACTGAGTGGCGCACTCTCTGTGGCGATTGTCGCTCCCGGTTTCAATTCCAATTAGAGTTTCAGTTGCCAAACAACACTCGACGGTATACGCTTGCCCATTCCGCTGATCGCAAAAGAAAAGCCACGGCTCTTGTTGTTGCAACAACAAAAACAACAACAAAGTGTCAAGCTGTTGGAAAATCGTGTGTGAACTTTGCCAAAAAAACTAAATACAACAGACATTTTTTTGTTTGTATACACTTAATGGTCGAGTGCTTTCGTGGTTCGTTTTATTATTTTGGGCAATTCGTAGCCAAGAAATAAGGTTGAGTGAACTTGTTGTTGGGTATGTGTGCACACACACATTTATATGCAAGTAATTTCTTTTGGCCAACTGAATGTACAGCATGATCATCGTATATGTGCATTTGTGTGCGTTTGTGTGTGTGTGAACTCCAACCGGAACGTGAGCTCGAGCTTTTCCTTTTCACTTCACAGAAAGTGTCATACAAACTTTTTTTTAACAACGTGTGAATAGATCTAATAAGAATTTAGCGTTTGAGGTCGATTTCTTTTGAACTTGTAAGTGAGGGGCTCTTAACGTAGGGCTTAACTGAATATTAAATTAATAATTTATAAACAAATGAACTCTAAAGTATTTTCAATAACTTAACTATACATGGTTTTTGCCATCTCAGACATTCGTTTTGGTATGAGAATTTCATCAATGTCAATATCACCAGCATTATATGGGATCTTCTCGCACTCATCCTGCAAGTCGCTCATGCTATATGCTCGTTTCTTGTCCACCTTTTTGATATCTAAAGAGTTCACCCAAGTGATTTCACATTCCAAATCCAATTTGCATTGTTTCAGCCAATCCTTGCCATGGGCCTGTGATTGGGTTTGCAGACGTTGCAAAATCGGTTTCCTTAAGATATTCTTCTTTTTCAATGTCTTCAGTTTGAGCTGGCTCAAATTAGATTCCTTCCTCCATAGATAGAGATCGGTGCAATCGTACGGTTTATAGAACGGGTTCTTCTCAATGGCTAAACATTTGATTTCCTGGTTAGCCAAGTTGACAGCCGACTTGAAGTTCAAGTCAAGTTGGCCCAAGCATTGTTGATCCATTTCTGCAGGTTTGTCTTCAGATTGTTTGTACAAAATATATTTATATAGATAGTAAAAGTATTAGATTGAAATTTATTTGTGAGTGTAATCATACAAACGAATTGAACGTAATCTGAAATATTTTCAACAGGCCTACTTTGTTTTACTATATTTATAGATTGAACGATTACACTAGAGCTATTAACTTTCCCAGTGTTGAGAAATGCTAAGAATTTTTAAAAATTTCCTAACAGAATAATTATCATTTCATGTCAGATCCATATGATCTTACACATAAGGCAGTCATTATGAGAGGGTTTTCCAAGTTTCGACTAAAAATTCGTCTGGCTTTTTGCCTGTTTATCAAGACACTAAGCTCTCATATGAATGCATTCATCAACAAATCTCAATTTAATCGCTAATTATTCAATTTTTTATTTATATGGAAATACAAATAAATCGAAATTGTGTCCTGTCCATTGATAACAAAAATATTTTTAGTGTTATTTTGTTTTATGGACAACATGAAATGAAGCATGAATATAATTTAATTAACTTAATCCAACTTGTTGGCGCCAATGATGTCTTCTTGAATGAGTTTAATTCAACTTGTTGACGATCAAAGGCGGCGACATTTTTTCCTTCTTGATATCCTTGAACTCTACCCAATTGAGCTCTTTCTCCATTTCTAGCCAGAGTTTGCCGCTTAATTTGATCTGCGTTTGCAGATTACGCTTAAAGGAGTCCTTATTCGTGTCCTTCAATTTTAGCTTCTTCGCACTCTTATTGAGTTCCTTGCTGTTCACTTTAGTCATTTTGAAGGATATTGAATTTATAATTTATATTTTCGGACTTGTGATTTTTATGTATATAAATATGTATATATGTGTGTTTCTACTGAGAGCTGTATTGCATCCAAATAAGTATTACTGGAATGTTCCTTAGCTGGCAAAGTTTCTCGAAATCGGCCTACTGAGATCGAATATAATTTAGTTTTTATTCAAACAGGTTCGTAGTCTATGGAAATACACAACTATAGATAAGAAGTGGAAAAATGACTTCAGATCGTTTTCACAAGTGAGTAAAGAACATGCAATTAATAATGCTACCTCGTAACATCATACGTATCTTATCTGCGCTACAAGCATCATTAATTGTTCTTTGCTTTCGAATAGAGCTGCCAAAGACGGGCTGCTTGATGTGTTGAAGGAGGCAACGCGTAAGGATGCCAATGCCAAGGACGACGACTCAATGACACCCGTCATGTGGGCAGCATTTGAGGGTCGCTTAGATGCGCTGCGCTTACTATGTGGCAGGGGGTAAATAATAAATAATTTAGAGAGCAAATATTTCGGCCATATTGTAAAGTTATTCTTCTGCAGCGGCGATCCGGATAAGTGCGATCAATTTGGGAATACAGCGCTTCATTTGGCTGCCGCCAAGGGACATTTGCATTGCGTTGATTTTCTGTATAAATTTGGTGTTAATATATATGCACTGGATATTGACAGACACAATGCCAAGGATCTGGCAGCCATAAATAATCGCGACGACATTTTACGTTATTTAGACGCTGCTGCAGCCAGTTTTGAGGCAAATGAAAAGTAAGGCGCGAACATGAATTTGAATAATTAAGGTGTGCTCAAATGCCACAAAATTAATCGCAATAATTGTTATCGATCGCAAGCAAGGCGTGCTTGTTTGTAGAGTACCGATTGCTACACTTGAAAATAATCGCAAAAGTCCCTATCGATAACAGTCAACGACTGTTTAAGGGAAAATGGCTTGCCAATTTGAGTAGAGTTTTAAATCGCAATCCCTGGTATCGATAACAAGGACTGTGTTGCACTTTTCAAATATTTGAATACTTGTGCTTAATACTTGTGCTTAATTGAAACTATTTAATTAACAGAAAAAAGGCAAAAGCGCTCAAGGAAATAGCTGAGAAGGAGTGCGAGAAACGTGTGAAGGAATATATGAAGCGCCAGCAGCAACAGCAGCAGAAGCACGACTACTGCGATCTAAAGCCAAGCAATGCTCAGACATTGGTCAGCAGCAGCAGCAAGTCGAGCAACATGCTGTCCACGCTGAAGCAAAAGATTTGGTCCAGCCAGGGCAATCTGAACAAGACGCCCAGGGAGCAGGCAGCAGCTACAGCACGCACATCCGCGACCAAATTCAGCGATCTGGTGGGCAGTAGCAGTAGCAGCAGCGGCGGCTCCACCATAGCCAGTCGCATGGGCACAGTGCAAAAGAAGCCGCCACAGCAGCAGCATCAGCAGTCGCAGCAGCAGGGAAAGTCGCAACACTCCAAATCCTGCCCACATGCTGCGGCGAATGATGGAGGATTCAAGGTGCGTGAACTGGAGCCGGATGGCAAGCGTACAATAACGTCGCTAACAGGGCTACAAAGGGATTCGGAGGTGCTGTATGTGGGCACATTTAGCTCCACAGATGAACAAGATGGCAAGCGGGGCAAGATTGCAGATGTCTTCGAGCTGGATGACGAGGAGGTAGGACGTCTGGGCTATAGCACGGCGCTGGCGCGCAGCTTCTCACAGCCGGATATACTAGGCGATGCACAGCTCTCGCAGGAGTTGAACGAGGAGCTGCAGGTGCTACAGCGACCTGTCGGTCTCTTCGATCGACCCACCATGCTGGGCAGCATTGCCTTCCGACGTTCAGTGACTGCGGCGCTGAGCCAACTGCAACTGCAATCGGATAGCATCGATAGCGTCTCCAGCTCAACCATGCGAAATGCAAGCAACAGCAACAACAACAAAAATAACAGCAAAGCGCGCTTGTATCTGAATCTATCCGATGACTCCGACTCCGAGGGCGCTGGCGATGATGTCTACAGCGATGATGACGATGAGGAACAGGTGTCGGCCAGTGCACTGCAGCGCTTTCTATCTGTGTGGGCACTAGAGGAATATTTGCCTGTGTGCGTATATATATGTTATATACTCAATTTATTGTATTTAATTTGTGTATTTTAGTTTTCAGAAACAGGAAATCGATCTGGAGACACTTATGCTGCTGACGGAGGCGGACCTGAAATCGCTTGGCTTGCCACTGGGACCCTTTCGCAAGTTGACCTTTGCTATACAGGAGCGTCGCAATGCTTTGGCTACACCTGGACCACTTGTGGATAGTCGGCTATAGGCTGAGGCCCCAGTATCCAAGCATAAGATGTTTCTTTGCCTCTGCTTTTCAAACTCAAATTTTCTTATGAAATGTATTTATTGATTTTGTTATATATACGAATTCTGTGTATGTCTGTTTATGTATATGTACCCATATATGTACAAACATATGTGCATGACGAGCTAAATAAACAGAGATCACAACTGCATAAGATGGAAGAGACGAACACAAAAGCCCACCATGTTCTCTTTTTTCCTTGTTTCCATATAAGTATATGGAGGCGGATATTAAATATAAACTTGGCTGGATATTACAATTAAATATGCATACTTATCTCTCCTCCTACATAAACGAATATTCTCTTAGCATACAAAGAGTTCGATTTCACAACTCCACTCTGGATGAATGAGGTGAATATTGTAAGCCACCATAGACCTCTGCTAGTAAAGTGGTGAATATATGCATATAAATGGGAATAGTCACCATGCTCTGCTACATATAAGCAGCCCGTCTTAACTTTTTCCTCACTCTACTTTTATCTTTGAGAGGAAATCAAATACAAATAAAAAAAATTTGTATATATTTTGTTACATACATATATCACTAAGCTTTATTAGTATAACGAATTAGGCTTCAATTTCCTACATTAATATTAATTGCTCTCAGAGCTTTAATTCAAGTGCAACTACAAAAAGGTCATACAAACTACAAAATGAATTAACTTAAAGCTAAACACGATTTGGCACACCTGCTTCGATGAGCTCTCTAATTAGTTGCGAACTACGAACCAGATACGAAACCCAGTCTAAAGTATTTTTACGTCCTAGGCGATATCTAGATTCCGACAATCACTATCTAGCCTAACCAGCCACCTGCTGCATCATGTAGAGGTTCGCATAGATGCCATTCAATGCCATCAGATGATCGTGTGTGCCCTGTTCGACGACGACTCCTCGCTTCAGTACACATATCAGATCCGCATCACGCACTGTGCTCAGACGGTGGGCAATCGTCACACAGGTGCGTCCAGCTCTGGCCTCATCGAGTGCCTGCTGCACCACCTTCTCGCTCTCCAGATCGAGGGCGGATGTAGCCTCGTCCAGTATCAGAATCTTGGGATTTCGCACCAGGGCCCGAGCAATAGCGATGCGTTGCTTCTGGCCACCGGAAAGCTGGGAGGTCTTGCCCACACGCGTCTCATAGCCCATCGGCAGGGAGCTAATGAAATTGTGTATGTTCGCCTTCTTCGATGCCTCGATAATCTCCTGCATGGGCACATCGTCACGGAAATTATTGCCATAGGCAATATTCTCGGCAATGGTGCGATCGAAGAGCACCGGCTCCTGGGACACCAAACCCAGCTTGGAGCGTAAGGTGTCCAGTGGGAAATCCGTGCTAGGCACACCACTCAGATTAACCGAACCCGAGACGGGATCATAGTAGCGCAATAGCAATTGGACACACGTGGATTTTCCCGAGCCCGATGGACCCACCAGTGCCACCGTGGTGTTCTTCTTAATCGTGAGATTCAGGCCATGCAAAATGGGCGTGTCCTTGCGCGTGGGATACTCAAAGCGTACATTCTCATAGACAATGTCGCCCTCCGATTTCTGAAAGAGCGGGAAACAATTTCATTAGAGAAAGACTTTCATTCTGCATAAAAATCCGAAACCCACCTCAGCTGTATTATATGGATTAAGTGGTGGATTGGATTGCTTGGGCGTCTGCTCGAACAGTTTCATTAGGCGTCCCGCGGAGATGATGGCATCGTTGACATTCGGCGCATAGGCCAAGGCCTGACCCAGCATCCAGGAGCCAAAGATCAATGCCTCGGCAACCTTAATGATATCCTCGTAGGGCAAGCCATCATTGGCAACCAACAGGCCGCCATAGTAGAGCGAAACGCCATAGGCGAGGAAGGGTGCCGTCTGACCCAAGCCAAAGACCAGACCACGGAAACGCACCTTGCGACGACAGGCGATGTTCACCTGATCAATCTGCTTGACGTAGCGCTC